CCCCCCCGCCGCCCGCCCGGTCGGCAGCCTCCCTCCCCCCGCTGCCGCACGCCGCCGCGTCGGCGCAGCGCGGGCACTCAAACCCAGCCGCCGGCAGCTTGTCGCGTTGCTCGAGCCCGGCGCACAAGCGGTGCAACCACACGCCGCACACGCCGCACTGGACCCCGGCATCGGCGCCGTGCCACGCCTGAGCCCCGCCGCACGCGCCGCAAGGACCCCGGGGCAGAGGAAGCGGCGAAGACGACCCGCCCGCCGCCGCCCCTCCCCCCTGCGCCGCCGCTACCGCAACCTCGCCGCCGCAGCCGGCCGCCGCCACACCCTCCGACGCGGCAGCCGCTCCGTCGCCGCCGCCGCAGCCATCTGACCGCGCGGCGGCGGCCGAGGCAAACGGCAAGGCTGCGGTGGCGGGTGCGCCGCGCGCTTGCCGGCCCTCCCCGCCCTCCCCGCCCTCCCCGCCCTCCAGGCCCTCCAGGCCCTCCCCGCCCCTGTACGGCCTCGCTGGCCCCTCCTCGGCCGGCGCGGCGGCGGGCTGCGCACGGGCGGCCGGATGGGCCCAATGCTGGCGCCTGGCGAGCACCGGATGCGCAGGCAAAGGCGGGCGGGCGCCAGAGGTGGAGGGGCGGGAGTTGGGTGGTGCGGTAGCGGCGGCGGTGGCGGCGGTGGTGAAGGAGGTCTTCAAGGTGTACCAGTAGCTGATGGTGGAGGAGGAGGAGGAGGAGGAGGCGGCGGTGTGTGCGCCGGCGAGTCGTGTCAGGTCGTGGCTGAGTCGCGTCCTCTCATGGCAGGATCGGCAACCCTTGCGCGAGTAGCGGCACTTCGAGCAGCCGGGGGGCGGCAGGGCGCCGGCGCGGGCAGCGGCAGAGCCCGAGGCGTGCGTGGCGGGGCAGCAGGCGGAGTCCGGCCGCGGCTGCAGCGGGTCGCGCGCGTCGGGCTGCCTCCACGCCACGGGCACAGCCTCCGCTGCTGGCTCGGCGCCGCCCTCGCACGGCCTTGGAGGGAGGAGAGAGAGGCGGCAGTCAGGAGGAGAGAGAGGCGGCAACGGCGGCGGAGGAGAGAGGCGGCAGGGAGGAGCGGGAGAGAGAGAGGCGGCAGGGAGGAGCGAGAGAGAGAGGCGGCAGGGAGGAGCGAGAGAGAGAGGCGGGAGGGAGGAGGAGCGAGAGAGAGACCCCGCACCGGCAAGTGTAGTGCTCCGTCTCCTCGGCCTGCTGCCGGTCGAGCCCGGCGCACTCGCCGTGGCACCAGCGGCCGCACACGTCGCACTGGACCCACCCTCCCTCGAAGGGCACGTCGTTCCTATTCGCACAGGCCGCCCGTGGACGCTGCTCGCCCCGCGGCCCGGTCCCTCAACGGCGGCGCGTTCGTTGGCAGGTGGCGGTCAGTGCCGCACCAGCAGCCGACGAAGCTCGACGCTTCGGGCCGCACCTCGCGAGCGCGCAGGTGCAGCTCTTCGCTCGGCAGAGCCTTGCCCGCCTCCATCACAGCGACCGCGATGTACCCGTTGGCCATCCGCACGACGTAGCCACGCCGGCCAGCGTGCTCGCCGCTCTTGGTGACCACCACCTCGGAGCCGACTGCGACGCCGACACGGGCAGCTATGCTGCGCGCCGGCCGCGACGCCACGTGCGGCTCCCAGTCACCGGCCTCCCCGTCCGTCGAAAGAGGCTCGACCTCGCGTGCTCGCACATTCACCTCGCCACCCTCGTCAAGCCCAACACGCAGGTATCCGTTACTGGAGCCGAGCACCTTACCTGCCGCACCGTGGAGCCCACCGGGTCTGGTTAGCTGGACGTATCCACCGATCGACCACGGGGGATCGCCCCGTCGCATGCACGCGTGGTGGGTGTGGTGCATGCAACGCGTTGTGGTATTGGGTGCAGAGAAAGAGAAACCGGAGAGAGATGAGGGGCCTGTCCGCGGAAGGCGGTTCGGGCGCCCTCCACTGCGGCTGCGCGCAAGAAGCCGTCCGCCGTTTGCTTGTTCGTGACCCAGTTGGTGCGCATCAAAAACAAAAACAGGCTATCATACGCGTGGTCTTTGACCCATCCCTTTCCAGTCGAGTGGTCGAGCGGTCCTCCGTCCGTCCACCTGACGGCCACACTCCTTCGCTTGCACCCCACGACCGCCGTCAACGCCTTGTCCAGCGTGTTTCCAAACCCTTAGAGGTTGCCCACCGACGCGAGCATAGAGCGGCCAAAAAAAAAGGACTTGCCAAACGTGGGGTTGTTGCGGCAGCGCATGGCCTTGCGCCGGCACTTGCACCCGCACCCCGACCGCTCGGCGTCCAGCTTCGCCCGCTGTATCTTGGTGAGCAAGATCGCGGCCATCGCCTTGTCGCGCACGGCGAGATAGTACTCGCGTGACTCGGCGTCGGCCTGCCCCGCGTCCGCGCCCGCGCCCAGGGGCTTGGGCGCCACGGGCGCAATGCCGCCGGAGGTGGCGACTCCCGGCGACGGCGACTTCTTGCCGTCGGCGGGCGTAGCCTGGTAGACGACGCTCTCGCCCAGCCGGCGGACTTCGGCCTCGACGCCGACCACGTAGCCCGGTCCGGAGCCGCTGCGGGCCGACGCGGGCCCGCTCTTCCCCACCGCCTTCGGCGTGGGCAGGCCCGGGTGGCAGGCGGTGTCCTGCAAAGCGCGATAGGGGCACACGGGAAGGGAGATTATTACCCGTGGGAGAGCGAGGAGAGTGCCAGGAGAGAATGCTTCGGCGCGCTCACCACCGCTGGGTCGGGCGTGTTGGAAACGGTCTTGGCCGGCTTCTCGACCTCCTTCGCAGCCTCCTCGGCGACGGCCTCCTCGGCGACGGGCGCCTCCTCGGCGACTCCCTCCACGGCGGCGGACACCTCGGCGGCGGCGGACTTGATGGTCGCCTCCTCGGTGGCGGCCTTCTCGGTGGCAGACTCGGCGGCGGCGGACTTGGTGGCGGCGGACTCCTCCGCGGCGGCGGACACCTCGGCGGCGGCGGACGTGATGTTCGCCTCCTCGGTGGCGGACTCCTCGGCGACGACGGCCTCCTCGGAGGCGGCCTCCTGAGTGGCGGCCTCCTCCTTCACAACGACGTCGTTGTTGACGCCGCACGCCTGCGCGAGGGAGATACGTAAATGTTTGGAGACGGGGACACCGCAGGGGGACAATGCCGATCCTGGCGTCAAAGTGCGCACCTCAGCTCCGAGGAGCGAGGGCGGCAGCGACGTGATGCCGGCCTTGACGGAAGCCGTTGGCCCGAGCTCGGTCTGAACCTGGGCTTCCTCCTCAGGCGCGAAACCAAAGCTGATTGGCACCTTTGCGAGACTCCGATGGAACACGTGGGGGTTGTCGAACCAGACGCCCCTTGTTGATCTCACAACCAAGAAAGCCGACTCGCCCTCGCTCTCATTGAAGTCGACCTTGTAGCGCCTCTCGGCGCGCGTCCTGCAGAGCAGAGCAAGATGCCGGGAGGAGCGGGTGGGTGGTGGTGTGTTTATCTGTGGCAGGGGGGGGGGGGGGGGCTGCAGACGAAAGTCATGACTTTGCGCGGTTTGCGAAGTCGGGCCGAATCGCAATACATGGGACCTCGAAGGCCCTCGTGGAGTTGTGCCGCGGCTTGGGCGCGTCGATCGGGAGACCGCGCGACTCGTGCGAAGTGGGCTGTGTTTGCGTTTCTTTGTGGGGACGGGCTGGAAGGGTAGAGGCATCTAGATGAAGAGCGAGGCGCACCTGATCGGACGGAGGCAGTCCGATGTGAGCGGAGAAATCATGAGGAGCGGCGGCGGCCGCCGGCGGCGGACGGCGCTCAGCGCGCGCATGAGCAAATCCAGTGCGGAGCGGGCGGCGGGCGGGCTCAGCGGCGCAGGGCCCCGGCCCTCTCGCTGGGCGGCAGGGCGCGGCACGCCTCAAGAGACCCACGGTCCTGACTCGTTCCCCTCCTCTTGATTGAGGGCAATGGGGACTCGGTAAAGCACCGAATAGACGCCAATAAACGCTCCCTCGTGCGCGGCCAGATCCGCGTGTGAAAACCCCTGTGGCGGAGCGAGGCGCGTGTGCGTAATACATAAATGTGGTGCGGAGAGAGCGCGCCGTGCTGGGTGCCGCTCTGCTGCTGGGTGCCAGTTAAAAACGGGCGGCAGGTTAGGTGCTGTTCAGTGTGAGGTGTGTGGCTGACTGTGACTTGCTCCACGTACGTATTAGGATGCGGCGATCCAAAAATGCAAGCCCCGCGCACTTGGCCGAGCCACTGTGAAAAGTGTCGAGCGCGCGGCGCAGGGTGAGGGCGTGGTTTTATGCGCTTTTACCTCATACCCAGTCGCCAGTCGCCAGTCGGGGTCAGATCAGTCGCCGAGCAGTGTCGCTCACACAAGCCGCAGCACAAGTGACTGTGAGGACCAGTGAGGGCGAGCCCATTGCTGTCACAGCTGTGGCAGCCGCACACAGAGTAGGCTGTGTCAACTGTGCAGAGAGTGGTATGAGCAGCAGATGAGCTGATGATGATGATGATAGAAAGGCGTGGTGAGGGTGGCGGCGGTGAGGGCGGGGGTGGGGACGGTGGAGGTGCTTTGCGAGCCTCCTCTTCCTCCATGCTGGAGTTCAGGAGCGAGGAGGCTGACGCAGACGAGACATTGACAATGTGCGCGGCAGAGACAATGTGCGAGGGTTGCAGAAGGACTTACTTGTCTCCTACGCTCTAGCTAGGGAAAATGTACATCGGGCGGGGGCACGCACGCGCAGCACGCACTCAGAGGAGGAGCTCAAACACACACTCCACCCGACGGGGCTAGCACTAGCACGCACAGACATCCCATGGCAAGACTACCGAAGGACTCACAAGCGCGAAGAGGTACACAACCGCCGAACCCCCCCTGGAACCTACGGCAAAACAAAGCCGCGTCTACTACTAGTTTCGGCAGTTTCAATGCCTTTCAGCGCACGCCCCCGCAGTTTGCATGAACAAATCGGCGCGCGGGGCGCCCTGCGCTCTACGGCGAAGTGGAGGCCGATCTCGCTCGCAGAGCGCAGGGCAAAAATTGTGTAGTATCTCCTCGGAGGCGGAGAAGCCTCAGCAATTTTACAGTCTTCGCCAACGGGACGCTCAGCTCCGCCGAGGTGGGGAGCCAGGACCGATCCTTGCCGCTTAGTAGCTGGAGCACAGCACAGCTTAGCATCTGTGGCAGCCACCACCAGGTGCAAAGAGCAGCGTGCGGCTTCCGTTGGCGGTTTCACCGGGGCTGCAGCACTGCCACTGGGGGGTTGTGTCCTTGACGCCAGCGTCAAAGCAGCCCCACTTCGGGTCCTTGTTTCCGTCGCCGCTACGGCAGTCGTCGATGTTTGGAAAGGGAATCGGATCAATCTTTGCCGCACCGGTCGTGAAGAAGTCCTTGAGCTGCGACAGATCGATTTTGTTCCACTGCATGTTATTGTACGTCCGGTAGTAAAAGTACGGCCCGTGCTCCTGCTTGAACACAACTCCGGTCTTGGTCTTGTACTTTGGAACCTTGAGCGCTGCCCACGCCGTGTACTCCCACGGTGGCGGTATCAGTGACCGCTCGCGGCCGACGCTGCCGCGGACAATGTGCACGTTGTTGAGGAGGCCCGTCCCCACAACCAGGGCCTCGTCGAGCGTCGTTGGCTTGAGCGAACCATCGTCTTCGGCGTTCTGCATCACACTCTCCTTAATGAGGAAGGTGCGCACGAACCGATCAGCCGGCGTGTAAGAGCCAGGGAGCAGCCGCGTGCTCATGCCGTTGGAAGCGACTTTGGGCGCGTTCACCACCACATTCTGTTCGGTCTCTGGGTCGTCGGTGTACGCATTGCAAGTTGTAAAGTCATCACCGCCGGCTGTAGAGATTGATTTGGAGAATTGCCCGCAGCTCTGTTTTGTTGGAGCCTCGGGAGTTGTCTTCACGCTATACCCAGCGAATTGGTCAACGTAGCCGAGCTGCCAATCAAAAGAGGGGTCATTCGTCAGCACGCCCACGTCTTTGTTGCCGTACACCTTCAGTTCTCCGTCGATGTACTCTATGGTGACAGCGTTGCCGTTGGAGTCCGCCACGAGCCAGTGAAATCCGGGCAGCGGCTTAAATCCGTGATAGACACTGACGCCCTTGAGATAGTCTATCACTTCTTTGACCGTCTTGTACTGCGCAAGCAGGTGTTTGGCAACTTGGTGGTGTCCAATGTCGTTTGGGCTGTCTGTTTTCGGCGAGGTCTTCGTCTGGTATTCTGCCTGGTGGTGAAGGTTTGCGGTGACGGTGAGGCCCTCCTCATTGATGCCATCCATCGTAGACTCAACCCCGAGGGGAGGTGCGCCATATACTGCCGTGATGCAAACCATGCCGTATTTGGCGTCTCGGCGAGTGTCTGCGAAGGGGTACGTGTCGCCCTTCCGGTGGAAGTAAATCTTCTCGGGATCGCCAAAAAATAGCGAACTAGCTGGCCAACCATACTCCATCGAGCGGGCGATCACGAGCCCATGCGATGTGAAGTTGTCAAACGGCACCACTGCAGCGGTGCACGCCCAAGAAGGGTCGATCACAGCGGAGAGGATGAAAACGAGCGGCAGCTTCTGCATATATGTGACGAGGCGCCTACGCGAGCACGGCGAGCGAGCGGGCTGTGTCCGGAGGGCTCGCGCGGGGCAAGGGCGGGGTATGGGCGCAAATCATCGATGGCAGTGGCTGCACCGCGAGCGGGAGTCGGCAGGCGGTGCGAGGCCCAGGGGGGTGCAGCCCAAGGGGGGTGCAGCCGCTCGCGCGGCGAGCGGGCGCATCGCGTGGTGGGGGAGGTGAGGGGGCGGCGGGTTCCGTGAGCAATAGGCGTCGCGTGGGTCTAGGCGTGCAGCTTTCGGCGGCCATCGGAGGCGCGGTGCGGCGGGGCGAGCGCGAGAGGCAGCGGAAAGGCTTGCCTTGTGTCGAGCAGGCAAAGGGTCGTCGGGGAACATGGGGAACAACAGTTCTCGTTCAAAAAGAGCGCCTTCGGCACTACTCTCTCTGTGTGAATCTCTCGAGGTCTCGCGGAACTTGTAATATTCCCTGTTCTTGGGGTTTGAGATGATCGCCCTCCCCTGATCATGCGCCGACTCAGAGCACGGACCCGCTAGCGTCGGCGGTAGCCCGAGCGGCGGCGCCCCCGAGGGCCTCACGCTCACGCCGCGAAGCCTCCGTCGGCAGCGCTCGCCCAGCGAGATGCTCCGGCTCCAGCACTCCGCTGTCGAGGAGCTTCGCACCTGCGCGGAGCGCATGCTGCCGCCGTCCCCCCTCGGACGTGAGGTCCTGCGGGATGCGCGCACCTACGCGCAGCTCTACGGGCGAGTGGAGGTGGGCGACGGGTCCCCAGCGCGTCTCCTAGACCTCAGCGAGGGCGGCGGCGCCCCTAGCGGTACCAGCGGAGACGCCGCCGCCGCCGAGGCCGCCGCCGCCGCTGACGACGCCGTCGCCGACGCCGCCTCACCCGTCGGACACGCGCCGGCCGCCGACGCCTGCGCTGCAGCTGGCGACGCCGCCGCCCCCCCGCCAGCGCCCGGCGCGCTGGGTGCCGCACTCGCCCCGGTGCCGGGGGCGGCACAAGTGGGAGGACAAGCTGCCGACGATGCAGTCGCACGCGAAGCAGCAGGGCAAGTCGGAGAGGGAGCGGGGCGAGGAGCTGGTCGAGTTCATCCAAGATGCGGCGCGCAAGCGACGGCTCAGACAGGCCATGTCGCGGATGATGGACGTCCCGTCCGTCCCGCCCGGCGACCTGGCGCACGCCCAGCTGCGCCTGCTCCTCTGCGCCGACGTGTCGTCGGCAGAGCGCGCCACGATGCTCCGCTGGCGGGAGGAGCGCGGGATGAACCAGCCGGAGAACGCGATGCACCGCCTCGGGGAGGACCTCCGGGACGAGGCACGAGTCAAGGAGCTCGCCGAGAAGTGGCGGCCCCGCCTCGCGGCGGCACGCTACAAGAAGCAGCCCGCAGGCACGGGCCTGCGCACCGAGCACCTCAAGCCCTTCTTCGAGGCGCTCGAGGGCGGCTTCGTCGTGCTGTTCGAGGCGATCGAGCGCTTTGCCATCCCCGACTGCATCACGCGCATCGCGGCGACGGTGCTCTCGACCCAGCTGCTCAAACGCCTTGACGACGGGACGCCGTCGATGCGCGCCGGCACGCGACCCATCGGCATGGGCGAGGCCCTCTTCAAGGAGGCGTGGCGCGCGCGCGCGAGCTGGGCGGCAAAGACCATCGGCCCCGTGCTCCTCTGCTTCGGTCAGATGGCCGTCGGCCTGCCCAGCGGCGGCGAGGGCGTCGCCACGGCGCTGCAGCTGTACTGCGACTCACCCGCGCTCGATAGCCGCGCCATCATCATCGCCCTCGACAACTCCAACGCCTACTCGACGAGCTTGCTCGACTCGTCGGCGCGGGCGACTCTGAAGCTGATCGAGTGGGTCAAGCAGCTCGACGACGCGACGCGGGCGCGGCTCGCCATCAAGGACGCAGACGAGGTGGTTCGGGCGGCGGAGGCAGCGCTTGACGACCTCGCCTTCCTGCGGACCCACCACGGCGAGGTGCTGACAGTCGTCGACGGCAGCCTGGACCGCTTCGCCGTCCGCCTCGGCTTCACGCAAGGCGGCCTCTTCTCCATGCTGAGCTTCTGCATCGCCGTCTGCTTCCTCGTACTTAAGCCGCTCAAGGAGAGGTACCCGGAGGTTGCGCCGAAGTGCATTGCCGACGACGCCCACGCGCCGACCATCGTCCGCGAGGCCGCCGATGTCGAACGGGCGGCGCAGTGGTGCACCGACTACGTCAAGCTCTCGGAGCGAGAACTCAACCTCTCAGCGAACGCGCGCAAGTTCAAGATCCTGCAGTCGCGGAAGTGGCAGGACACGGAGCTTGACGTGGCGCGCTTCATCAAGCTCTTCCCGTCGCAGATGCACGAGGGAAAGCGCAAGCGGCCGACAGTGGTGCGCGACGCGCTCCGAGTCAACGGCGTCGGCGTGGGCTTCGTCGCGGCAGCGCGCACCGGCATCGCCATGGACAAGGTGCGGGCGCAAGAGATCAAGCTGAGGGTGCTCGAGAAGCTCACGCCGGCGCTCGGGCGGCAGACGGCCGAGCTCCTCGGACGCTTCACCCTCAAGGCGTCAACTGCGCTCAACCACGTCGCCCGTGGCCGCGAGCCCTCGGTCACGCGCGAGCCGCTCGAGTACGCGGGCGAGACGCAAGCGCAACTCTTCCGCACGCTCACCGCTACCAGCCCCTCCGAGATCCGTGACGTGCAGCACGACGCCAACCCCGCCGGCCCGACGGAGCGGCGGTGCGAGGAGGCGATGCACCTCTCGCAGAGGAATGGCGGCTTCGGCTGGGCGCATCCACGACTCATCGCGCCGGCCGCTTCGACTGGGCGCGTGCTCGACGTCCTCTATCTGCTGCGGCGGCTCGAGGACGTGTCCCCATTGGTGCCGCCCCCGAGCGAGTGGGCCGCGTCCGGCGTGCCGATGCTCGCGGAGGCAATCGCGTTCATCGAAGAGCTTGTGAGTAATTCGGCGGGCTTCGAGCGCGGCCCGGACGGCGAGGCCGACGACTGGAGGTCCCTCCGCAACAAGATCGTCGCGGACGACGGCTCGGTCGACTACAAGGGGATCGAACAGGTCTCGGGGCGCCACTTCCAGCACGTCGCCAACAACGCCCTGCAGCAAGACATGTTCGACGCCATCGTCAACGACCCGAAGGTGCACCTGGCGACGCGAGCGCACTTCCGCGCGACGAAGCAACTCGGGGCGGGCGCGGTGCTCGGCATCGACGTCGTCCACAAAGCCGTCGAGCTGCACGACCAGGCGTGGCTCCACGAGGCGCAGGGCTACCTCAACCACCCCAAGGGCGCCATCACCCTCGCCACGCGCTGCGTCGGCGTGGGCCCTAACTCGGTGTGCATATACCACCGCGCGAGGCTACCAGGATGCGTCCCGTGCGACATCGGCGAAGCGCGAGTGCCACGCACGCTGTCGCTCTTCGAGCACCTCAGTGGCACGCACTGGGACGGGTGCAACTACGGCGGCTGGTTGGCCACGGGGCACGCATCCCTCAACACCCACGTCACGGACATCGCCCGCGCCTTCGGCGCCTCGGCAAAGGTCATGGAGGTGAGGCTCGGCTGCAGGGACCCGACGCGGGCGCACGATCCGGACACCAACCCGTACCAGCGGGGCGACGGCGTCTTCGGCAACTATGCAGAGTCGGCACGCGCCGTGGTGTACGACGGCACGTGCGTCACCGCGGTGCACCACGACAGGCTGCGCCCGCTGGCGAGCGGCAAGCACCTAGCCACCGACTACGCCGAGGCGACGAAGCGGAAGGCCAAGGCAGCGGCGTGCGACGCCAAAAACTGCGACTTTATGACGTGGGCGGCGAGCACGCGTGGCGGCATCGGGCACGAGGCGGCGACGTGGTTCAACACCAACTTCGACATCAAGGCCGCTAAGGCAGCCTCCGATAGCGAACGATGGCGGGTCAGTAGCGAGCGCAAGCGCTTCCTGCAAGTGCACTCGACCATCGTCGCGAGGCGCAACGCCGCCATCTTCGACTACAACGCGTGGCCGAAGATGGGCGGCGAGATGCCGCGGGCGCCGCGGGTGCAGTACGAATAGGGACGGGCGAGGGAGGAGGGGCGCTGACCACGGGCGACACGCGTCGAAGGTTCGACGACGACTACTCGCCGCCTGGGTCGTTTGGGGCGCGCGGCTCCGTCGAGGACCAGGCGCGCCCCCTACCCGGCACGGCGTAGGTCCCACTCTGGCGAGAAGAGGGGAGGCACGGTCGACAGCCCGATCCATCAACTACACTCATCTTCTGGTGCTTGGCCCCGTGCAACAGCGGTCCGGCAGGCTGCCCCCAAGGCCCCCCGGGCCGCTGCGGGTTTGGGAGTTATGCTTAGGCACAGCTTCGGCGATGGCAGCCCCTCTCTGGGGTGTTGCATAGGCGGGGAGTCTCCCCCGCTGGTCTCCTCCTTCCCATTTTTTCTTTTCTTTTGAGAGCAGGACGCCGGGTTTGTCTTGTATGTGCATGTCGGGCCTGGGTGTGTGCGAGGGGCAGAGGGGCGGGGGCGTGCAGGGCAGAGGCCCAACGTCGGGCGGCTTGTCGGGGTCCGGAGAATTCGAGGGGGGAACGAGGAGGGGGGAATGGGCGGTCGGCGTCGAGTAGAGCGACAGGTGCGTACGGGGTAGCCGTCACTTTCCCGCCTCGAAAGGGCGGGGCTGTCCCGGAAAGTGAGAAACGCCGGGCAGCGTGACGCATTACTGAACCCTCCCATACGTGCTCGTGCTTGCTCCTCCTTTGCTGTCCCATCTCCCCATCTCTTTCCCGCCTGGGCGGGGCGGTGGGCGGGCGCGCGGTGCGGCGTGGCGTGTGCGTGTGCGCGACTGCGACGAAGGACCGCTCGCAGAGGACCATTGGGTTTGTACTATTAACAACGAAGGCGCTCTCAAAAAAAAGGAGGTCGCGCTTTATTGATGCTCGTGGCCATCGCCTTCGCCGCCGCCTGCGGCGTCGCCACCGGCGGGCCGCCGCCCAACGTGGCGTTCCTGTCGCACGGTGACCTTGTCGAGGATGGCGAGGCTGCTCGCGAGGCCATTCGCGCCGCCTTCACCGGCAGCGCCTCCTTTGGCCTCCTGGTGGTGCGCGGCATCCCTGGCTTTGCCGACAAGCGGCGCGCGGCCTTCAATGCGACGATGCGGCTGGCGGTGGACCCTCCGGTGCACAGCCGGCGGCTCCGGAACGCGTGGCCTGGCTTCCGCCACCCGTCCGACGTGCAGGAGCCGCTGCAGGGCGGCTTTCTGCACAACATGCTCGAGGACGTCGGGCCAGCGCGGGTGGACCCCGTGTTCGGCAAGACGCCCTGGCCCGACGCGGCGTACAGGGCGACAGTCGTGGCGGTGAACGAGCTCATCTACGACACCTCGCACCGCGTGCTGTCCGGGGTTGACCGGCTCGAGGGACCCTAGATGCGGAAGTGTCTAGGAAGTGTGTAGGAAGTGTCGACCGGCTCGAGGTTCGGAGCAGAGACCGGCACTCGAGACGACGCGTATCCAGCTGCATGCATCTGCACTCGTCTGCATCCCTCTGTGCTCGCAGCCAGCGCGACGCTCCGAGCATGCAGCACGCGACTGCTCTCGCCCCGAGACTGTCGGATGCACGAGACATGTCCGAGACACGCACGAGGCCATGACATGTCCGAGACATGTCCCGCAGGCTGGTCGGCGAGGAGGCGGAGCGGACAGGGTCTCCGGCGCCAGAGGTGCCGCTCGGGCAGCTGCTGCGGCGGCAGGACTTCCTCTACTCCCTGTTCAAGTACTTTCGCGCAGAGTTCTCCCGCGGCGACGCCACCTCTTCGAAGACAGCTCACCAAGGCATGCGGCGCCGTCACCGCGCAGCTGTTCCCATGCACAGGCGACGACCTCTTTGAAGACATCGACGGCACGCTGCCGACCTCGCTCCAGGCGGGCTCGCAGCCCGAAGACGCTGTCGCCTCCGCCAGCTTCGACTCCAACTCCAGCTTCGACTCCAACTCCAGCTTCGACTCCACCTTGCGGCCGCCCTCCCACGCCGGCACTTGTGTCGCCGCAGAGGCGGCGGAGGGCGCTGCGGGCGGCGGCGGCGGCAGCGCAGCGGAGCTGTCTTCGATGCGGACGCACTCCGCTTCGTCGCGCGGTCGCGGCGGCGGCATTTGTGCTGTCGAAAAAGCGGGAAGCGGCGGCGGCGGCGGCGCAGGCGGCGGCAGCAGCGCAGGCGGCGGCGGCAGCGCAGCGGAGCTGTCTTCGATGCGGACGCACTCCGCTTCGTCGCGCGCCGCAAAGGCGCCGGACATTGCGCGGGCGAGCGAGGCGGAGCGTGGGGCGAGCGGCGGCGAGGGCGCAGCGAGCGGCGGCGGCAGCGCAGCGGAGCTGTCTTCGATGCGGACGCACTCCGCTTCGTCGCGCGCCGCAAAGGCGCCGGACATTGCGCGGGCGAGCGAGGCGGAGCGTGGGGCGAGCGGCGGCGAGGGCGCAGCGAGCGGCGGCGGGCCGGAGTCGTTCTGGCTGCCGTGGCACATCGACCCGAACACGATCTCGACGCTGACGGGCGACAGCTACTTCGACTTCGACACGTCCGAGACCATCCGGCTCGCCGAGTACCCGGAGACGGGGCTCGGGCTGGTCGCGCTCAACGCGCTCGGCGTCGTCGTCAAGCGGACATGCCGCCGGGCCCTCGGCTCGTCCAGGACATGTCCGAGACATGTCGCGTTAGGCGACGTTGTCCACCTCTCGCGCCACATCGACGAGGGCTCCCTCGTCGTCATGATGGCGGCCGGCGCGCAGGCGCGCGACACCTCGTGCAACCGCAGTTCTGACCTCAACCAGATCTCGGCTGATCTCGGCTAGATCTCGGCTAGATCTCGGCCCCTTGGCTGAGCTCGCTCGGCCTGCACGCTAGAGATCCCCGACCCTACGATCCCCGACCCTAGCGGCGGGCCGCGTGAGCCCCGGCCCCGAACCCCAACCCCGAGCCCCCGAGCCCTAACCCGAACCCTAACGGCGAACCCAACCCCGAGCCCTAATGACGAGCCCCAACGAACGGCCGGTCGCCCAGGTGCACACCGGCGGGCTCCTCCGGGGCTGCATGCACGCTGTGCAGCGCGAGGCGGCCCCGAGGGGCGCCTCGCGGATCATGTACTACCAGGCACCGCCTCGCCGCCAGCTTCCCTGCACGCACCTCTCCGCTCCCCGCGCACCTCCTCCTCTTCCCCCCCCCTCTCCTCATCCCTCTCTCTCCTCACCCCTCTCCCGCCCCACCCCACCCCACCCCTACGCACCGCCTCCCTCCCCCTCACCCCTCTCGCCTCCCCACGCGCCCCCGGCCTCGCGCGCTCGCGCGCGCACACACACACACACACACACACACACACACACACACACACACACACACCGCCCGTCTCCCCGCCCACCGCAGGCCTGGTACGGTCCCGGCGACCACAAGTTCGCGCCGCCGCCCGGCGCGCGCCGCTCGTCGGAGACGACGCCCCTGTCGGCGACATGTCCGGGACACGTCCGGCTCTCTCTCCCACGCCTAGGCTCGGGCTACTCGACGGCGGCGACAACGGAGGCGTCGGCGGGCGGCGGGCTCGGGAGGCGAGTGCGGTCGGTGGTCGACCCGATCGTCAACGCGGTGCACGGCCGCACGCAGCGGACAGTGCTGCTGTCCTTCCGCCGCCAGTTCCAGCGCCTCTCCGCAGGGAACGAGGCCCGGCCGCAGCCTGGCGCGGCCCCGAGGCTGGCCACGGCAACGCCGCCGTGACACGCCCCTCGACACGCTCCATAGGCCGACGGCAGCCAGGCCCGATTCGAGGCGCTCGCCGCGGCGCTTCCGCTCGCCGAGCCTCCCGCCGGCCAGCCTCCCGCCCCCCTCACCGTCGACGTGATGACCGACTTGAGCTGCCCGCTCGCCTACCTCGGCCTGAAGAGGCTCAGCGCTGCGATCGCGTCGCTCGGCCTCGACGCGACCGCGGCGCGGCCGCCTCCCCCCCTCCCACGCCGCACTGCCCCCCCCCCACCATACGCGCGTGACACGCCCGCGCGACACGCCCACGACACGCCCACGACACGCCCACGACACGCCCACGCCACACGCCCACGCCACACGCCCACGACACGCCCACGCCACACGCCCGCGCGACACGTCGATGCGACACGCCCACGACGCGTCCTCTGCAGGTGCGGCTCCGCTTCCACCCTGTCTTCGTCAACCCGCTGATGGACCCCGATGGCGAGGACATGGGGCCCTAGAAGCGGAATACGTGTTCATGTGTATCCCAGCCAGCGCTCGAGAGGAGACGCAGTCTGCTGTACTCGACCGTATTCCGCGGTATTCCTTGTACTCGCAGCCGCTCGTAGCTCACGCGGTGCTCTGAAGACGCCGCACAAGACCGTGCCTCCCGCCCTGACGTCGGTGTCTCCAGCGCGCAGGAGATGGGCGCGTACATGCTCAACCGGCGGAACCTCTCCCTCGCCGAGTACAACGACGCGGCGTACCCGCTCAACGTGGCGGCCGCCGCGCTCAACTTCAGCTACGCAAAGGGGCGGCGCGTCATCCACCCGCGCCGCGCGCACCTCGCCGTCGCCGCGGCGGCCGAGCGCGATCGGGCGCCGCTCTACGCCGCTCTGGCGCGCGCGTACTTTGAGGAGGGGGAGGACATCAGCGACGTGGCCGTGCTGCTGCGAGTGGCGGCCGCGCTCGGCGTCGAGCGCGACGAGCTGCGCCTCCGCCGAGCGATGGACGGCGAGGGCACACTAGATGGGCAGCACGCGCACTCTTCTCTATTCCGACTGGCGCTCGAGAGGGCGCGCAACCCGCTGTCTCCGGCCGTATTCAAGCCGTGCGCACGGCACTCGTAGCCCTCAGCCGCACGCCCTGATCGCGGTGTGTTCACGCCGCAGGGGCGGAGGGGGAGCTGTCGCGCGCCTCCCGCCGACTCGACCCTCTCGTCGACGCGGTGCCGCACTTCCTCGTCCGCGAGTCCGCCTCCGGCTCCGGCCTCGAGCTGCACGGGCCGCTTGAGGTGCGGCTAGCTGCCGCCAGACGCACGTCCCTGCACCCCTGCGCTCGAGACGACACGCTGCTCGGCGGTATCCCGTCGCCTTCCGCCCTGAGATGTGGCTGCTTCGCTTGTTCCACACCAGTGACGCGGCGCCGTGTCCTCTGACTTTGGTGTATGCGCACTCCAGATCGCCGAGTTTGCCGACGCGCTGCGCACCGTGCGCGACGCGGCGGGCACCCCGCCCCCCGCCGACGGGTTCGGCCTGCAGCAGCCGCCCGGCATGCTGCTGCCCGGCTTTGGCGGCGAGCCGACGCGCGTGCCGACGGCGGACCGGCGCGGCGGCGCGAGCATCGTCGGCCTCAGCCTGCGGGGGTGGGAGGGGCCAGGTGCGTGGCCGTACGTCGCCGGCGACTTCTCTCGCGAGGATGAGGCGGACGACGCGATCAAGTACGCCTCGCCCAGCTTTGCGTCGCACGTCGACGCCGCCGCGTCGGCAAGCCTGACGCAGGTTCACCCCGCCTACCGCACCACCCACGGGACTGAACCCGCACTGGGTTCGAGACCCTGGAGGTATGGTACGCAGGCGTACTCCGCCTACTTCGGCTCGGTGGCCGCCGGCTCGCCGCTCGCCATCCTCGACACGGCGGCGTCGTGGACAAGCCACTACCCGCCGCTGCCGGCCGGCACGCGCGTCGCCGTCCACGGCCTCAACGCGCAAGAGCTCGCGGCGAACGGCGCGGCGACGGAGGTCGCAGTCGGCGACCTGAACAAGGACCCGACGCTGCCGTACACCGATGGCGAGTTCGACGTCGTCACCAACGCGGCGAGCATCGCCTACCTCACCCGGCCGCGAGAGCTCTTTGCAGAGGTGCAGCGCGTGCTCAAGCCGGGACATGTCCAGGACACGTGCACGACAGGTCCGAGACATGTCCCATAGGTGCACCGCGTGCTCAAGCCGGGCGGCCTCGCGCTGGTCTCCTCCACCGCATCCGCCATCACTGCCTATTAGTTTAGCGAATTCATTCATTACGAATCGGGTGGCAGGTCTCCTTTTCGAACCGCGTCTTCGCCGAGAAGGCGACCGCGCTGTGGCTGAGCAAGATCGACGAGGACGTGGCGCTCTGCAGCGTCGTCCGCGCCTTCTTCGCCTTCGGCCCGGCGGGCGGCTGGCGCAACGTGAGCAGCGTCGACCTCAGCCCGCATCCGACCGAGGGCGACCCCCTCTGGATGGTCACGGCCGTCAAGGCCTAGTCTACGCGCGCATCTGCGCGCACCGCGCTCACGCCCTGGCCTCCCCTCTCGCCGGCTGTGGCCGGGAGCATGATCGAGAGGGAAAGCGAGGGGCCCGGGTGTGCGGCACGGTCTCGCCCGCGATGCTGTGGGAGCGTCAGCGCGATCGAAGTTCGGTCGCGGGCGAGCGTGTGTGTGTTCGTGTTCGTGTCGTGTGTGCCACATATGCTCATGGTTGAGCGCGTTTTAACTCCATTCAATGTACGTCACAGTCAGTTCTACGAGGCGCGAGTGCATTCGGGGAATTCGCGCACCTCCTCGTCGCAGGCGCACACCTTGTCTGGTCTCTGGTGTCTGGAGTGTGGAGTCTCTGGAGTCCGTCTTGAGTCGCTGCTCGCTCCAGTCGTCCAAGCCGCCACCGCCAGGACCGCGGGGAGCCGCATCACGTGGCGGGGCGATGGCGGGGTGCACTTCAGTCGTACACAGACCACAGGACATACACCTTACAACGCTTAAATCAACCTCTGCCCGCCACGGGTGTAAGGAAGTGTTAAAATATTGAATATATTGCTCCAATAGTTAGAGAGGCGATCAATATCAACACACATGGCAATAGTTAGAGGAGAGGCTGGGCCTGGGCTGGTCAGGACCGTCAGGTGGGTCCATCCTGGGCTTGAAAGTGGCTCTAAATCGTTGAAAACGGGGCCAAAATCGCTTCAAAATCGCTTAAATCGCATAAAAATCGCTTTGAACTCGTGATTTTTTTGATTTCAGCCCACATCTAGGCAATGTTTGGGACAAATGTCGACATTGGTGCTTTTGGAGGTTAAAATCAGCGATCAATATGTCAATATATTGTCAATAGTTAGAGGGGATGCTGTCAATAATCAATATCAATAGTTACAGGGGCGAGAATCAATATTTAACACTTCCTTAGCCACGGGGCTTCTCGTTGGAAAACCTGCTATAACTACGAACCGGAAGAATCGCTGCGATTGCGCTCTTCGCTCCGCCGCCGCCGCCACCGACGCCCTCCTCCTCCTCCCCCTCCTCCTCCTCCTGCCCCTCCTCCCCCTCCTCCCCCTCCTCCTCCCCCTCCTCCCCTCCTCCCCCTCCTCCAGTCCTCCTCCTCCCCCTCCTCCTCCTCCCCCTCCTCCTCCTGACCTCCTCCCCCCCTCGTTCGACGCACCCCCGGACTGGGCAGAGAGATCCCAGTGCATCTGCGCTGGGCACTCCACCCCGCCCCCACTTGCCCTGACTGCACAGGATAGCGTGCCCCGACGAACGGCGACACATAGCGGGGGACACTGCGCCGGGGGGTATGCCTAACTTTGGTGCTTTGTGTGGGTCGCGTTCCCTTGGTAGCTGTGTGGCTGAAGCCCTCGTGCCGCTGGCTTGCCCCTTCCAGCGGCTGGCCCCTTGAGACTGTTGGTGCTTGGCGGTAGGAGGGGGAGAGGGAGGCCCGGTGGGAGGAGAGGGAGAGGGAGGCCCGGTGGGAGAGGGGAGGGAGAGGGAGGCCGCCTTGGGCTCTTCTCCTCCCCCCTCCCTGGGCTCTTCTCCTCCCCGCACGCTAATTCTTTTTCCTTCGCGGCAACGCGATGGCGGCAAGGCCTCTCTGCGCGCCCGCCCTCGTCACGCCGAAGACCAACCGGCGTCGGACCGCGGTGAGACCACGCCGCCCCCCGCGCCCGCCCGCGCCCGCAGCGTGAACACATACGCGCGTCCCTCATCGCACGGAAACATACGCGCCAGCCGCGCAGCAGCCTCACATGCAGCGCCGACCGCATGCCCGCGCCCTGGGCCGCCGACGACCCGGTCGGGCGGGCTGCGCGGCCGCCGCACACCACCAGGCAGGCGCACAACCACCCGCAGCGCGCCGCAGCCCACCGCGCAGCCCTCCCAGCCAGGCCTGCGCCTCAAAGACTCACAAACAGGCGCACAACAGAGTACAGCACACGGCACACACCGGCGGCGCGCGCGCAGCACACGCAGACGCACGCGCGGATCCAACACGCACACGCGCACAGCACGCGCGCGCCGCACGCCAGCGCAGCGCCACACACAGAGCACACTTCCCATCAGCAGCAGCAGCCTGCCACAATCCACATCTCACACACGCGCGCGCACACTCCCCCCTACCGGCGCACGCATTGGGCGTCGCCGAGAGCTCCCAAAG